ATGAGAACCAGAAAAAAAGTATCACCTGCAAACTGCGAAGTGGGGGGCGGGAGGAGGTTTGGAGTAAGGGATTTAGAATGCCATTGTTCTTGCTATGCAGCTTTAAAAGTTAGTTTAGGCTGAGGCACAAAGGAGAGAAATGGTACAAGCCCCCCTGCGTTGTCTCCAAGGAGAGGAGTTTGCATCTACCACTCTCTGAGAAGCCATGTGTCCCAGGGGTCCCTTAGATCTCTGCTTTCACCCTGTATCTGGGCCTTCTGCCCACCCAGTAGCACCCTGTACCTGTGTTCTATCCCAGGTAGGCCAGCTGAGTTTTAAAACTCCAAACTTTAGGAACCTGGCATCGTAGGGACCTGCACTGGTCCTCTTGGGGAGGGTCTAGGCACTCTGGGACTGATGCAGGTTTGTCCCAGAAAGGCAGTCGTGTCAAAATGCAGAGGTGTAGAGTTTGGAGTAAAGCACAGCAAAGAGCCAGTGTCCAGGTTAGCTGCCCTCTGCAGGTGTCTCTGCACCTATGCTAAGTGGTAGAAGTGGGTTATGACATTTGCCAGCTCTTTGGTCTCTGATGAGGCAATACCCCTCTCCTAGATGTGCTTCAAGAAGGGGAACTGTCTCTCTCAGTGAGTCCCAGGGGATCCTCAGGTTGTCATCTGCTCCCAGGCTATCTGCCCTCCTCCTCAGGAGCACTGCAGCATCCTCAGGGCTCCACACTGGCCATGCTATGGACCTCTCAAACTCGAGTCATTGAGCCTTGCTGGTTGTAAAAACTCGTGAAAATCAGCCCCTCTTGTTTTCCCTGTCAATGGCTTTGAGGGGGAAAGTATTTTGGGGAAAAGTATTTTGGGAAATGGCTTTGGGGAGGTACTTTCCTTGTGCAATCTCCTGTGTATTCCTCTCTCTCTCCTTCTCTTTCTCTTATATCTACCTCCTACTTTCTCTTATATCTAGCTCCTACCTTCCCTGATGTGGCCTCTTCTCCCCTTCTAGTTGTGCAATTTGTTCTGTCAGTCCTCAGGTCAATTTCTTGGGTAATTCGAATGATTTTATATTTATCTAGCTGTATTTGAGGGAGGAGACGGGCATAGGGTCCTCCTCCTACTCCCTCTTTTTTATAGTTTTTGATCTCTTCATTGAATTCATCCATTCTTGTCCCAAGTTTCTGGTCACTACTTGAAATTCTTTATCAAGGAGAGTGCCTGCCTCCATTTCATTCCCTTTTCTGGGTTTTGTCTTGTTCTTTCATTTAGAACACATTCTTCTGTCTCCTTATTTTGTCTGACTCTGTATTTGTTCCTACATATTGGATACCTCAGCAATGTTGCCTGGCCTTAAAGGAGTACCTTAAGTACCAAGGGTACAATCCCCTCTGGTTACCTGTGTGGGCTATGTGTACTATCCTCTTGTGGATGGGCCCTGACTACTGTGGGCTCACCAGTGGGTGGGGTTTCCCAGCCCCTCCAGGCAGGAGTCACTTTGGAAAAGTGCTGTTCCTGGCTGGCTGCATACCAGATGTGGCAGGGCAGGCCACCACTTTGGAGTCCTAGTCAAGGCTGCCCAACAGATGAGGGGATGCCGGGGTGGGGTAAGCAGTGCTAGCAAAACAGATAAAGAGTGTAAGAACTGGTGTCTACCAGCATTTGGCCAGCTAGTCAGAAGGAGGGTAAGAAAAATGGTGCCTGTCAGTGCTTTCATTCCCAGCTAAAATTCCTACAGATTCCTGCCCCTCAGGCACATGCCCTAAAATTAGTTAATATATCTCTTTCACATATGCCATAGGTTTTTTTCAAATTATTGCCTCTTTACTGGTTCTCAGAGCAAGCAAGTTTATATGTGCGTCCTTTAAGAGCAGTCTCAGTTTGCTATAGCCCTCTGGCTCATCCAGAGTTAAGTAAGCGCTGACTTTCACAGTCAGATGTTATGGGACCTTATCTTCCCAATGCAGGTCCCCAGTGTTGAGGGTGCCTGATGTGTGGCTTGAATCTCTCACTCTTTGGGAAGGACTCTATACTTGTGATATCTCAACTGCTCATGGGTTGCTAGGCCAGGGATGTGGGTCCGGACCTGTGTCTCTGCCCCTCCTACCCTTTTCAATGTAGTCTTTTCTTTATATCTTTGTTGTGGAAGAGCTGTTCTGCTAGTCTTCAGGTCATTCTTGGAGACAGTTGCTCTGTATATAGTTGGAGTCTCCGGGTGCTTGGGATCCTCCTACTCCACCATCTTGAACCTGATCACCATATTTTTTAAAGCCATTAAGTTTCAGAAGTACTCTGGCCCAAACTACATGTAATCCTATCTTAGAATACATGGGCCCTCAGTGTTATTAGTAGCTGCAAAATGACAACACCTCATTTGATCCTATAAAAGAGCAATGCAGATGGAGAAGTAAACATAGACTGTCTGAAGAGTTCAAAAGGACCCCTATACGATGTGACTAGAATGAAGAAGTCTGAGATGAGTGATAACAAAGAAAGGCCTTCCAGATTACAGCTTAAACATTATAGTCAATTTAATTTTTCACATTTCCTAGGAAAATATTAAAATTAAGACTTACAAATATAATCTAGGGGCACCTGGTTAAGTGTCAGTTAAGTGTCCAACTTTGACTCAGGTCATGATCTCATGGTTCCTGAGTTCGAGCCCCACATCGGGCTGTCTGCTCTCAGCGCAGAGTTTGCTTTGGATCCTCAGCCTCCCTCTCTCTCTGCCCTTCTCCCATTCGCATGCCCACATCTCTCAAAAATAAGAACTTTAAATAAATAAATTTATTTTTATTTTTTATTTAAAAAAATTTTTTAAAAATGTTTTATTTATTTCTGAGAGAGAGAGAGAGAGAGACAGCGTGAGCAGGAGAGAGTCAGAGAGAGGGAGACAAACAGAATCTGAGTATTATTACCCCAACTTCTTTTTGTCTCCATTTGCATGAAATACCTTTTTTCATCCTTTCACTTTCAGTCTGTATGGGTCTTACTTTTTACATCTATTCAGTCACTCTGTGTCTTTTGATTGGTGCATTTAGCCTACTTAAATTTAAAGTAGTTATTGAGGGTTGCCTGAGCTAGCTGTCAGCACAAAGCCCAACGTGGGGCTGGAGCCCATAAACAGTGAGATCATGACCTGAGCCAAAGTCGGACGCTTAACAGACTAAGCCACCTAGGTGCCCCAAATAAATTTATTTTTAAAATATCATTTAGAAGCACCTACAATAGTCAAAATTATCTTGGAAATGAAGAAAAAAGTTGGAGGAATCAAAATTCCCAATTTAAAACCTATTGTAAAGCTGCAGCATTCACGTTTTTTTTTTTTTAAGTTTGTTTATTTTGAGAGAGGTCATGCGAGCAAGCAGAAGAAGGACTGAGAGCAAGGGAGAAAGAGAATCTCAAACAGGCTCCACAGTGTTAGCACAGAGCCCAACATGGAGTTCAAACTCATGAACCATGAGATCATGACCTGAGCCAAAATCAAGAGTCTAACGCTTAACCAACTGAGCTACCCAGGCACCTCAAAGCTACAGTATTCAAGACAAGGTGGTACTCTCATAGGGAGCGATACAAAAACATATGCAGGAATATTCATAGCAGCATTATTCATAATAACCAAAATGTAGAGATAACCCAAATGTCCAATTGATGGATAAACAAATGTGGTATATCCATACAATGAAATATTCATCCATAAAAAGGAACGAACTACTGCTTCATGCTATAATCTCAATGATTCTTGGAAACCTATACTAAGTGAAAAAGCCACCTAAAGGCCACATGTTGTACGATTCCAATTATATAAAATGTCCAGAACAGGCAAATCCCCAGAGACAGAAAATATATTAGTAGGTTGCCAGGAGGTGGAAAGAAGGGAGAAGAGGGAGTGACTGCCAATAGGTAAGGGGTTTCTTTTTGGGGTGATGAAATGTTCTGGAATTCAATAGTGGTAATGGTTGTACAACCTTAAAACTACTGAAACTTTACACTTTAAAAGGATAAATTTTATGGTATGTGAATTATATTTCAATATAAAAATATCATCCATACACTGTTTAAACATAATAATGTAGTTAAAACTGCCTAACAGAAAAGAAGCAGACCACCTGGGAAGAACAGGTGTGCTGCAATGATTGACACTTAAAACAAATGACTCATCTGATTACATATATACATTATACATAATGATAGGTTCAGACTATGCAAGCTGGCTGAGAGACAGTATAACACTGAATTGGAGTTTGTACATAAGAACTGTGTGTGTATGCATATACATACACATTTATATACACACACACCCCATTTCAGGATTCTCATCGAACAATGTCAAAAAACAATAGTCTATCCAGTATCCAATAACAAAATCCTTGGATAGTATCTTAGAAGACTTTTTATTACATCAAAGTTTATACTATTTCCTCAATATGCTAATGATCTTGGCTATTATATGAAAAATTACAGCAATAGGTCTGTTGCCAAAATTGGATATGAATTAATATATACATCTGTACCATGGATATAAATTCATATATGTGGTAGAGACTATGGCATATCATACTCCAGCCTCTGAAATTCTCAACCCAGATCTATTTCCTTGTAGTTCCAAATTCTGGCTCTGGACTAAAAGAGAATCTTGTTGGAATCTAAGCTTCCTCATTTACTGGTTAATTGTGTGTGACTCTGAACTAGTTACCTTACTCTTCAAGAGTAACAGTACTTCCTATGCCTCTTAGGAGAATTAAGTGAGATAACACATGTGAATCACTCAGCATTGTGCCAGAGACTAATTAAGCATTCAATAAATGTTAGCTACTATCATTAAATTTAATGGTACTTACTTTCTGGGAGTAATAAATACTTACCACAAAAAAGATTGTCCCATGGACAATTCTATCAACATATTAATATTTAGGATACTTATAAACATTACAATTCAATTAATTTCTAGCATTCATTAGCTATAATTCAAGTGTAAAACTCTATGAAAATATAGAACTTTGTATATTAAAACAGAAGACTTACTGATATGACTCTCAAGTCCTGCTTTTAACTTCTTAAGCCACGATAAAAGGTTTTGTTCGGTGATAGCCTGTTCTGAAGGAAATGCAAATACTTGGCCCCCTGAATGCAGATTCACCACAACAATACGAGGAAGGGGAGGCAGAGCGTCAAAATATGTTTGCAATATTCCTCTTCCCACAGGAGTATTCTTTCTACAAAAGGGAGCAAATGAGTATGTTAGTATTTATTTCTATAATAAAATTATGAAAATAATAGTTTGTAGAACATTAAACTTTAAATATAGTATCACATCATTAAGTTTATAAAAAGATGTCCTAAAACCTAAGAGGTCTATAACTATGTTATTAGTAATCAGATTCTTATGAGTTACTTTTAACATGGGCACCGTGTTTCTCTTAGGAGAAAAAATGGCAGCCAGTGATATTTTCATGAAAGCCAGTCATAGTTCAAAGATTTGTCAATTTAGGTTTGGTATAATCAATAGGTTCCTCCCAAAGTTGAGCTAAGTATCTGATCATATGTCAACTCAAAAATTAAATGCTTACAAACTATAAAATAAGATACTTATAACTACTCCAAATAAAATTGTTTTTCCTCAGAAAAAAAGAGAAGATGTTAATTTCAAATTAAAAATATTTTTTGAAGTTATAAACATGGAAACCAAAACTTTTAAGATACCCACCTTTTCTAGGGCACCTGGGTGGCTCAGTTGGTCAAGTGTCCAACTTCAGCTCAGGTCATGATCTCACAGGTCTTGAATCTGGCCCTTGCATCAGGTTCTGTGCTTACAACTCAGAGCCTGGAGCCTGCTTCAGATTCTGTGTCTCCTCTCTCTCTGCCCCTCCCCTGCTCACATTCTGTCTCTCTCTCAAAAATAAACATTAAAAAAACTTTTTTTAGGGACACCTAGGTGGCTCAGTTGGTTGAGTGTCCAACTTGAGCTCAGGTCATGATCTCATGGTCCATGAATTTGAGTCCTGCATCAGACTCTGTGCTGACAGCTCAGAGCCTGGAACCTGCTTCAGCTTGTGTGTCTCCCTCTCTCTATGTCCCTCCCCCATAGCACTGTTCCTCTTTCTCTCTCTCTCTCTAAAATAAACTTAAAAAAATTTTTTTTTTAAATGCTCAGATTTCCTAAGACATCACATTCCACATTATAGAAAATACTGTTTTACTCTGAGATACCTACAAAGATAATACCCTGGGAACATTTTGTCTTAAGCAGTAGACTGTTAGTGAACTGTTCACAGAAAAAAAAAAGTACACTTCTTAATGCCTGTAATTTTTCAAATAAATTAAAATGAACTTTTCACAACGTACAGAAATCGGTTGCATTTTTATACACCAATGATGAAGCAACAGAAAGAGAAATCAAGAAACTGATCCCATTCACAATTGCACAAAAAACCATAAAATACCTCGGAATAAACCTAACCAAGGATACAAGAGATCTGTATGATGAAAACTATAGAAAACTTATGAAGGAAATTGAAGAAGACACAAAGAAATGGAAAAACATTCCATGCTCATGGATAGGAAGAATATATCCATAGGAAGAATATAGTTAGGATGTCATTACTACCTAAAGCACTCTACACATTCAATGCAATTCCAATCAAAATTGCACCAGCATACTTCTCAAAACTAGAACAAACTATCCAAAAATTTGTATGGAACCACAAAAGACCCCGAATAGCCAAAGTAATACTGAAAAATAAAACCAAAATGGGAGGTATCACCATCCCAGACTTCAGCCTCTACTACAAAGCTGTCATCCTCAAGACAGTATGGTATTGGCACAAAAACAGACACATAGACCAATGGAACAGAATTGAGAACTCAGAAGTGGACCCAAAAGTATACAGCCAACTGATCTTTGACAAAGCAGGAAAGAATACCCAATGGAAAAAAGACAGCCTTTTTAACAGATGGTGTTGGGAGAATTGGACAGCAACATGCAGAAGAATGAAACTAGATCATTTTCTCACACCATGCACAAAAATCAACTCAAAATGGATAAAGGACCTGAACGTGAGACAGGAAACTATCAACACCCTAGAGGAGAAAGCAGGAAACAACCTCCTTGACCTCCACCGCAGCAACTTCTTACTTGACACATCCCCAAAAGCAAGGGAATCAAGAGCAAAAATAAACTGTTGGGACCTCATCAAGATTAAAAGCTTCTGCACAGCCAAGGAAACAACCCAGAAAATTAATAGGCAACCAACGGAATGGGAAAAGATAGTTGCAAATGACATATCAGATAAAGGGTTAATATCCAGAATCTATAAGGAACTCACCAAACTACACGCCCGAAAAACAAACAACCCAGTGAAGAAATGGGCAGAAGACATGAACAGACACTTCTCCAAAGAGGACATCCAGATGGCCAGCAGACACATGAAACGATGCTCAGCATCCCTCCTCATCAGGGAAATACAAATCAAAACCACACTGAGATACCACCTCACGCCAGTCAGGGTGGCTAAAATGAGCAAATCAGAGAACTCTAGATGCTGGCGAGGATGTGGAGAAACGGGCACCCTCCTACACTGTTGGTGGGAATGTAAACTGGTACAGCCCCTCTGGAAAACAGTGTGGAGGTTCCTAAGGAAACTAACAATAGAACTCCCCTAGGACCCAGCAATAGCACTGCTAGGAATTTACCCAAGGGATACCGAAATGCTGATGCATAGGAGCACGTGTACCCCAATGTTCATAGCAGCACTCTCCACAATAGCTAAAACATGGAAAAAGCCTAAGTGTCCATCCACAGATGAATGGATCAAGAAGATGTGGTTTATCTAGACCATGGAATACTACATGGCAATGAGAAACCATGAAATCTGGCCATGTGTAGCAACATGGATGGACCTTGAGGGTGTTATGCTGAGCGAAATAAGTCAGGCAGAGAAGGACAAATATCATATGTTTGCACGTATAGGAGGATTAGGAGGAACTTGACGGAGGAACAAGGGGGGAAGAAGGGCAGAAATGGTGGGGGAAAGGGAGAGAGGCAAACCATGAGAGACTCTTGAATGCTGACAAAAACTAAGGACTGATGGATGTGGGGGGGAGGGGGGAGGGGCATGGAGGTGGGCACTTTGGGGATGAGCACTGAGTGTTATGTGGAAACTAATTTGACAATAAACTATTTGTAAAATAAAATAAAATAAAATGAACTTTTCAGCTGATGCATTTGAACGGATGGTGTATATAGGCGAACTGTGTTCACAGACATTAAATGTACACTCACACTCTTTGTCTCTCAAATAAGAATATAAAAATATAGAAAAAAGAACTGAAGAAAAATGCCAAGGTATCACAATGTTTATTTTTCTGTATTTGCCAAATTTTCCTCAATGGACATCAATTACTTTTTTTTAAAGTTTATTTATTTTGAGAGAAAGAAAGAACACAAATGAGGTGGGAGGGTTGAGAGAGGGAAGGGGGGAGAGAATTCCAAGTAGGCTCCACACTGTCAGCACAGAGTCTGATGGCAGTCTCAGTCTCACAAACCATGAGATCATGACTTGAGCCAAAGCCAGACACTTAACCCATTGAGCCACCCAGGCACCCAAATTACTTTTAAAATCAGAAAAATTACTACTTCTAAAACTCTGTATGACACCAAAGCAAAGGCAACAAAAGTAAAATAAACAATTGGGATTACACCAAATTAAAAAGGTTCTGTATACGGGCACTTGGGAGGCTCAGTCGATTGAGCTTCCAACACCTGACTTGGGCTCAGGTCATGATCTCAGGGTCAAGGGATTGAGCTCCATGTCAGGCTCTGTGCTAAGCATGGAGCCCACTTAAGATTCTCTCTCTCCCTCCAACCCCCCCCCCCCACCGACTCGCTCATTCTCAAAATCTTCTACAGACCAAGGAAGCCATCAACTACAAGAAAAGGTAATCTTTGGAATGAGAAAATATTTGCAAATCACATATCTGATAAGGGGTGAATATCCAAAATAACTAAAGAACTCACATCACAGCAAAAACCACAAATAATCCAATTAAAAATGGACAGAGGAACTGAATAGACATTTTTACAAAGAAGACATACAGATGGCCAAAAGGAACATGAAAAAATGTTCAACATGACTAATCATTAGGGAAATGTGAACCAAATCCAAAAGATATCACCTGTTAAAATGGATGTGTCAAAAAAACAAAAAACAAACAAAAAAAATAAATATTGGTGAGGATGTGTACAAAAGGGAACCTTCATGAACTAGTGGCAGGAATGTATATTGGTGCTACCACTGTGGAAAACAGCATGGAGGTTCCTCAAAAAATTGAAACTAGAACCACCATATGATCTGGCAATCTTACTTCTGGGTATGTATCCAAAGGAGATAATAACAAGACAGTGAAGAGACACATGCACTCCCATGTTTACTGCAGCATTATTTGCAACAGCCAAGATACAGAAACAAACTGTCAACAAATGAATGGATAAAGATATGGTACAGATACAATGGAATATTATTCAGCCATGAGAAAGAAAATCCTGCCACTTGCTACAACATGGATGGAATCTGAGGGCATTACACCAAGTGAAATAAGCCAGACAGAGAAAGATAAATACTGCATGGTATCACTTATGTGAAAAATCTAAGAAAGTCAAACTCACAGAAACAGAAGAAAAGTGGTTGCTGGGGACTGGGGGTTGGGGGAAATAGGAAGAGGATGGGAAAAGGAACAAACTTTCAGTTGTAAGATGAATAAGGTCTAAGGATCTAATGTATAATATGGTGAGTACAGTTGATAATACTACATAATTGAAATTTGCTAAGACAATAGAACTTAAATCTTAGTTCCCCCCCTGAAAATTACATATACATTTCTAAATGTTTGAGGTAATGAATATGTTAATTAGATAGAGGAATCCTTTCACAATGTATACATGTATCAAATCACCACAATGTACACTTTAAATATCTTAGTTTTGTCAATTACAGCTCAATGGACCTGAAAAAAAAATACCACTCAACAAAATAAAAAATTTATTGTAGAAAATAATTCAATCTAAAACAAGGTCATCATTTAGTTACTAAAACATGATAACATATACACTGGTCCCATAATATTAACTCCAAAGGTACAGTTAGAGAGTTTCACTTCCTTATGAAAAGGTAGTAATTACAGTTTCTTATCTTTTGCATATTAAAGAATAAAAATACACTTACAGATTTAACCAGCAAGGAGTAAGTGAATCCAAGTGTTTCTCTTTTACCAGCGTCAATATTGCTTTTTTATACTGAGGATTTATGCTGCCATCATTGAATAAAATAAGTAATGGTTTCTGAAGTCTTAAATAAATGGGAAGGTTTTCCACAGTGATTTCTGGCTATTAAAAAAAACATGGAAAATGGTGAGGCATAAAATAGAAAATAATGTCCAAATCCCTCATGCAAGTTTAGTTTGTAAAATGTAATTAAAACATATTTTAAGTGGAGATTTTGCTTTACTGACTAAACCTGTGACTACCTAGAGCTTTTTATTTTTTAATTTTTTTAAGTGTTTATTTTTGGGAGAGAGACAGAGAGGGAGGCAGAGGGTGGGGGGTAGAGGGAGAAGACACACACACACACACACACACACACAGAATCTGAAGCAGTCTCCAGGCGCTGAACTGTCAGCATGGAGCGTGACACAGAGTTCAAACCCACAAACCACCAGATCATGACCTGAGCCGAAGTCGGATGCTTAACTGACTAAGCCACCCAGGCGCCCCTCAAGAGCTTTTTATTTAAGCCCATTTTGTCTTAATGGGCTTAATGAGTTATTTTTTTAAAAAGTACTAATTTCAAAATTGTTAAACAAGTTCTCTTTTATAAGGATGTAACACTTCTAATCGTTTCTTATGCTAAAATCTGGACAAGATTTGCATATGACAAAACTCTTATTGTATCCAACATAAAATTTTTGAAAAAAGAAATGCTGAGCTTTAAAGATATCTTTCAACATCTATGATTACTTAAAAATCTTATTGTGTTTCAATATTACAGATTTTAGCATAATGAATATTATAAAAAACATGTTTAAACAAATAAAAATATCAGTCTCATTTCATTTCTTTTTAAGCTCAAATACCAGGCTCTGGTATTTGTACTTTTCCTTATTTAGTTCTCAAAGCCACTTTTTCCTCTGCCAAGTCTCATTTTTCTTCTAATTCTTTCTCTTACACACTCAAAATCCCCTTCTTACATGTTCCTCTTTCATGACTTTGATCTTATATTCCATCGTCTCCAAATTTCCCTATGTTGTCTTCTTATATTAACTATTATCTTTCATCTTCTTTAAAATTTTTTTTTTACATTTGTTTTTGAGAGAGAGAGCACAAGCTGGGGAGGGGCAGAGACAGAGGGAGACATAGAATCCGAGGCAGGCTCCAGGCTCTGAGCTGTCAGCACAGTGCCTGACATGGGGCTCAAACTCACAAACCGTGAGATCATGACCTGAGCTAAAGTCGGCCACTTAACCAACTGAGCCACCTAGGTGCCCCATCTTTCGTCTTCTATATGAGTTACATACCCTTCCTAAAAGTGACAAATCTCATCAGGCCAGCAGATCTCCTCACTCTGAACAGATCTGAAAGATTAGGGGAGAGGAGGAGGCAAGATGGTGGAGAAGTAGGGAGCTCGGTACATTTCACTCGCCCCCATATCTCATACAGAGAAGGCCTGAAGCCATAGGAACCCTTACAGAATCCAGGAGTTTGGGAGGAAAAGGAGACAGAGTCCACTGAGAAAACCTTATAGCGTGAGTGCAAACTGGGGAAGATAAAATGGGGCCGGGACTGGAGACACAGATGAAGGAGGGGATCCCCCTTTGCAGGCAGCTGCAGTGAGTCTAGGGGGAAAAAGAAAGAGTGGCTAAAACTGCTCAAGACATGTCCCTGTCGCTGGAGAAGAGAAAAACCTCCGCTCGGGACACAGAGGGACCCGGTTGCCTACTGTCCAACTGACCCTAGGCAGGACACACTTGTCCCAGGCGACCCTGGGTGAAACCGCTCCTTGCTTGCCAGCCCAACCTGGAGGGGACCAGGGATGGGAGCAGCGGCTTCCGGCTCAATTCCCAGAGGTAAGGCGAGAGGCTTGAAACTGCTCTGAGGGACTCAGCTTCGAGTTTATATTTCAGGTGGTATCAATGGGGCGTGCGCACTGAAAACGAGGCCTGGCTTGGGATATAGAGCACAGCCCACTTTGGCTACGCCCCTGGCACAGGGAGATCACATGCAAAAGAGTGAGTTGCAACGGCTGGTTCAAGAAGGGAACTGGGTGCCGTCACTTTTCTCCCCAAATCCACCAAAGCAGGACACTCGCGGGACGCACTGGACCAAACCACGCCCATCCCGGCTAGAGAGCTGCCCTCTTCTTCTTCTTCTTCTTTTTTTTTTTTTTTAACCAAAGCCGGGGCAAGACTAACATGGATGCACTGCTCTGATTACTTCTGGTCACTGGCTTGCTTAAACAGTCACATGTAATCTATTCTCTAGATGTGTATTCTACACCTCCACTGCTACCTTTTTATCACTTTCTCTCTGGAGTAATCAGACTATATAGTTTCTCTGAGTAACATTATCATCATTTCTTTCACCTTCTCTCCAACCATATTCCCCTCTTTCTCTCTTTGAATTAAGCCTTAGTCTTTCTGCCTGCTTATTTCATTCCCAATTTCGCTTCCTCCCAACCCTGTCATTTCTCTCTTTGTATATGCTCTTCCACCAGCACTGCATACGCTATTTATTTGTAGCTGGGAATTCTGGTTCTATGCTTTAGACTGTCTTTTGTCCATTGGGTTTTTTTCTTTTTCGTTTTCTTTTTTATGTATTTTATTTTTATTATTCGTCATCCCTCCTTCCTCTTTTCATTTTTGTATGTGTCCCTTTTTTCATTTTCTTTTTCCCTTTCAATTTCTGTGTTTGTTGGATTTGTTAGTGCATTTGTGTGCCTTTGTTCCCTGTGCATTTGTCTGTTTTCTTTTCCAGGGCCACCTGAAGAAACAAGCCAAAGTACACATGGTGGAGAGTCCCAAATACCAGTATGAGTAGGAAAATAAAATAACCAAGGTCTCAACAAGAGAGACCAAGAGACACCATTCAAAGAACACTTCCTGAACAGACAGGCCCTGGACAGTCAAAGAGCTTTCTTTGGTACAGCAGCACTCGCAGGTGCAGAGTGCATAACAAGCTTTTAAAACTAATAAGAGATAGCAAGCTAACCAAAATGACGAAACAGAAGAACTCTCCTCCATAAGTAATTCCTGGAAGAAATGACAGCTAAAGAACTGCTCAAAACAGATATAAGCAACATAACTGAACAAGAATTTAGAACAATAGTCATAAAAATCGCTGGGCTTGAAAAAGTCATGAAACACATCAGAGAAACTATTGCTACAAAGATTATGGAGCTTGAAAATAGTTGTGATGAATTAAAAAATGTTATAAATGAGATGCAAAATAATATAGAGGCATCCAATGCACGGATTGAAGAGGCAGAAAGGAGAATAAGTGATTTAGAAGACACACTTAGAAAAAAAGAAGAAGCTGAGAAAAAGAGAAATAAACTTATCAAGGCACACAGAAGGAGTTCAAGAGCTCAGTGATACAATCAAACAGAATACTATCCGTTTCATAGGAATTCCATAAGAGGAAGAGAGAGGGAAAGGCACTGAAGGAGTCCTTGAACAAATTATAGCAGATAACTTCCCCAATCTGGGGAAAGAAACAGATGTTGAAATCCAAGAGGCACAGAGAACTCCCCTCAGACGTAACCTGAATCGATCTTCCACACGACATATCATAGTGAAACTGGCAAAATATAAGGACAAAGAGAAAATTCTGAAAGCAGCTAGGGAGAAAAGGGCCCTAACATATAAAGGAAAACCTATCAGAGTGGTGACAGACCTATCTACTGAAACTTCGCAGGCCAGAAAGGAATGGCAGGAAATCTTCAATGTGATGAACAAAAAAAATATGCAGAGAGAGTCCTCTATCCAGTAAGCCTGTCATTCAGAAGAGAAGGAAAGAGAAAAGTCTTCCCAAATAAACAAAAATTGAAAGAATTTGTCACCACTAAACCAGCCCTACAAGAAATCCTGAGGGAGACTCTCTGAGGGAAATGTTGCAAGGAATGCAAGGAACCAAAGACCCCACCACAAGCATAAATCCCACAAAGGACACAATGACTCTAAATCCATATTTTTCTATAATAACACTGAGTGTAAATGGACTAAATGCCCCAATCAAAAGACATAGGGTAGCAGAATGGATAAAAAAACAAAACCCATCTATTTGCTGTCTAAAAGAAACTCATTTTAGACGGGAGAACACCTTCAGATTGAAATTAAGGGGAAGGAGAAATATCTATCATGCTACTGGAAGTCAAAAGAAAGCTGGAGTAGCTATACTTATATCAGACACACTGGACTTTACGGTAAGACAGTAACAAGGGATGAAGTAGGGCATTAAATAATAATTACAAGGTCTATCCATTGGGAAAAGCTAACAATTATAAATGTCTCTGCACCAATATGGGAGCACCTAAATATATAAAACAATTAATCACAAACATAAACAATCTTATGGATAAGAATGTACTAATAGCAGAGGACTTTACTACTCCACTTACAGCAATGGATAGATCAACTAGACAGAAAATCACTAAAGACACAATGGACTTGAATGACACATTGGACCAGATGGATTTGACAGGTATATTTAGAATTCTACATCCTGAGGCCATGAAATTTATTTTCTTCTCAAGTGCACATGGCACATTCTCTAAGACAGATCACATACTGGGACACTAAGCGGCCCTCAATAAAAATGAAATAATTGAAATCATACCATGCCCACTTTCAGATCACAATGCTATGAAACTTGAAATCAATCACAGGAAGAAGTCTGGAAAACCTCCAAGAACATAGAGGTTAAACAACATCCTACTAAAGAACGAATGGGACAATCAGACAATTAAAGAAGAAATTAAAAAATATATGGAAACAAATGAAAATGAAAATACAACAATCCAAACTCTATAGGATGCGGCAAAGGCAGTCCCAAGAGGAAAGTACATTGCACTCCACGCCTATTTCAAGAAATTAGAAAAAGCACGAGTACAAAATCTAACAGCTCACCTAAAGGAACTAGAGGGAGAGCAACAGGAGCACCCCAAGCCCAGTAGGAGACGAGAAATAATAAAAATCAGGGCAGAAATAAACAATATAGAAACCAAAGAAACAATTGAGCAAATTAATGAAACCAAGAGGTGGTTTTTTGAAAAAATTAACAAACCTCTAGCCAGGCTTCTCAAAAGAAAAGAGAGCACTCAGACAGAATCATGAATGATAATGGACTTATTATAACCAACCTCTCAGAAATAGAAGCAATTATCAAGGAATACTATGAAAAATTATATGCCAACAAACTGGACAACTTAGAAGAAATGGACAAATTCCTAAACACACACTCACTACCAAAATTTACACAGGAAGAGATAGGAAATCTGAACAGACCCATAACCAGTAAAGAAATCAAATCAGTTATCAAAACTCTCCCAACAAATAAGAGCCCTGGACCTGATGGCTTCCCTGGGGAATTCTACCAGACGTTTAAAACAGAATTAAAACCCATTCTTTTCAAGCTATTCCAAAAAATAGAAATCGAAGGAAAACTTCCGGACTCATTTTATGAAGCCAGCATCACTCTGATTCGCAAGCCAGACAGAGACCCAGCAAAAAAAAACAGAACTACAGGCTAATATCCTTGATGAATACAGATGCAAAAATCCTCAACAAGATCCTTGCAAATCGAATCCAACAGCACATAAAAAGAATTATCCGCCAAGATCAAGTGGGATTCATTCCTGGGTTACAGGGCTGGTTCAATATTTGCAAATCATTCAATGTGATACATCACATCAACAAAGGAAAAGATAAAAACTATATGATCCTGTCGATAGATGCAGAAAAAGCATTTGACAAAATACAGCATCCCTTCTTAATAAAGACCCTTGAGAAAGTCGGGATACAATGAACTTACTTAAACATCATAAAAGCCATCTAGAAGAAGCCCTCAGCTAACATCATCCTCAGCGGGGAAAAACTGAGAGCTGTCCCCCTGAGATCAGGAACACGACAGGGATGTCCACTCTCACCACTGTTGTTTAACATAGTGCTGGAATCAGCAATCAGACAACAAAAGGAAATAAAAGGCATCAGAATTGGCAAAGAAGTAGTCA